CACTCATCCTGTCTCTTATACACATCTAGATGTGTATAAGAGACAGGTGTGTGTGTGTGTGTGTGTGTGTGTGTCTCTCTCTCACACACACACACACGTTCTCGCTGTATTAATGTACACACAGACACAGACACAGAAATGAACAAACCAATCGCTCTGTGTATCGATCTACCGACAAATATACAAGTACGCATCCCCAGATGTGAATGCGTCCTCACTTACGCTCCATCTGCAACATCTATCTAACAGTACATCGCTCGTTATGCGTGCTCGCTTGCGCGTTATTTGTGCGCACTCCTGCACGTTTGTTCGTTACCCTGTGCTTGACTGTCTCCTCCTTATGTAGCCGTGTTTGCAGATAAGTATCAAGCGTAGAATCATCGGAAATTTGTTTGTAAACAATTGAATAACAATGGCACATTTTGCATATACCCTTTCAATCACGCATCCATTTTTCCTAACTCAATGACCTGCATATTCCCTATATCTATGGCGCGTAGTTTCTCGTGTTTCGCGGCTTACTGTCTTTCTCTATCTCTAGTTGACTTTAACATGGACAGCAACCTCGGAACAGAATGGAAGACACCACACCCGGCAGAGAGATGGGTCCGGGTTTCCTTCTTTCAGTCGGTGGTCCGCTATTCTCTCTCTTCTCTTGCCCGACATTCATTTCATTGCGTCTCACCCGCCAATCTACTCGCCAAAGGCCGGTTTTCCCCGCCGAATGTCAGCGGAAGTTGCCGTTCTCCGATACATGCGCCCGCCGTCTGTGAGCGGCCATCATTACGCCTTGTCCATTCCGCCATTTTGCGGATTTCCTTCCTGCTAACTACTTGAAGCTCTCGACCAGCCCACCACCATTGCTACCTAGATCGTCAGCAAACTCACCAAAGAACGGTGGGCCTCTCATCGCGATTCTTCACTTGCCGTTAGCTCCCGCCGAAAAAAAACGTCTGACAGCAACCCCTTCCCCCGCGCCCCCGCGACTTTTACTATCGATTTTTTAATTTTTTTTAACTACTATCGTTTTCGATTCCGACAATCTACAATCTACCTCTACCCGCCGTTCCCCCGCGAGGCGTACACCCGGCGCCTTTTCGCCAGGCGCTTCCTTACGCTTCAATTAAAAAAAAAAATTGCCCGCGCATTAGGGGGGGGCGGGGGAACAAAAAAAGAAAAAAAGAACAGGGCACTCGGTTTTTAGGGCCGCAGTGGGCCACTACGTAGGGAAGTGTCTTTAGGACCTGAACTCTGTCCTCTGGGTCCCAGACTTAGGGCCTCGCTGCACTACTCTCGAAATGTGCAAAACGAGAGTGAATCGTCTGCTAGAATATGGAAAGATACACGGTCATGATTTTTGTTTTTTGTGCATTTCAAGAGTAGTGCAGCGAGGCCCTTCGTCATGACTGCTAACACTAGACAGCTACCAAATGGAAAAAGTTCGACGGCGATCCGCTCTGGACTGTTCTCAGATTGTTCGTATATAGAACTGTAGGAGCGTTGTACTTGGTACAGACTGGGTAGAGGTGAGTCCCGCAGACAAATGCCTGTAAGCTGAATTGTGAGGTCCCCGGACTCTCCTTGAAGTGAGTGTATTTAAAAAATAATAATAATAAATAAATAAATGGCCCTCGCCTTGCACCGCTCCGTTTTCGCCGTTCTCTTGCGAAGTTTTCTCTCCTTTCTTTTTTTTTT